CCGACGTCGACTGGCTGACCAACTCACTCAACGACTGCTACTGCTACTACTTATTATAGGTGGGAGAGTCTATTAACTATAGAATAGGTGTGTTCCAGTATAACGTTTTTAAAGGCAGATTTGGTTTTGTGCATATACTTTGGTTTCGCACAGTCCTATCTCGATCGCTTGCACTGTTCCTAGCGGTTCACCCTTCTCAACCAATTATACCTACTTTTGCAATGTATGATACGAATCGCCACTTCACCTAGATAAGCCTTTCGTGTGTATTCATTATTATTATTATTATTAGTAGTAGTAGTAGTATTAGTTGCAGTAGCTGTATTTATCTATCTTTCATTCTACTTCCTTTCTTTTTTCTTCTTTTTCTTTTTCTTCTTTTTCTTTTTCTTCTTCTTAATATTAATAATTATTAGTAGTAATAGTAGAAGTAGTAATATTATACACTCATCATTCATTTTTTCTTCTTTCTTTTCTTCTTCTTCTTGTTTGTAGTAGTAGTAGGAGTATAATTTTTCATTGTTCCTTCTTTTCGTCTTCTTCTTCGATTTCTTTTCAATATTATTGGCACTTTATCAAGAGCGACAAAAGATAGGAAATTGTGGAGAACCATGATCACCCAGGTCCATGATCACCCGGTACATAAAAGAAGAATAATTAATAGTAGTAATATTCTACACCCATCTTTCTTCTTCTTAGTTTTCAACCGGAGATGTTCTTCATTGTCGTGATATATATATATATATATATATATATATATATATATATATATACATCACATTTCGCACACACATATATATATATATACATCACCTTTCGCACATATATATATATATATATATATATATATTTCATATATATTATATATATATATATATATATATATATATATATATATATATATATATACACACATCATATATATATATATATATATATATATATATATATATATATATATATATATATATATATATTAGTAATAATAATCTTATAAGTATAGGAAATTATACTCGTCCGGAAAACCTTCGGTATCTTGATTTGCAAATAAACAAGCCAATACCAAACCAAAGGGGAAAAAAAGGTATAAAAAAAGAAAGAACCAAGAACAAAGTACGTCAGCCGAAAATAATCGTCCAGCAGACGAGTCCAAAGTCCAAGATCCAAAGAAAAAACCCCGACGCGAGTACGCAAAATAACTAAATAAAGTGCTGACGATCCGCTTAGGTGAAAACTTGGTAGGTTTGTCTGGCTTTATAGGTTTAAGTGCGCAGGTATGCAGAAAATAGAAAAGAACACGTTGGGTGCATAATCCGGAGTTCCTTAGTATTTTAATTTTATTTTTAAGATGACAGTGCTCCATACAGAAGTAGAGCTTATATTGTAATATTTTTTTGTTTAAAAATATGATTCCTTCGCTATATAAGAGTTCTCATGTTTCAAAAACGAGAGCCGAAACCATCCAAACACCCTTTCAACTTAATTTTAATAATTATTTGGATGGTTTCGGCTCTCGTTTTTTGAAACATGAGAACTCTTATGTAGAGAAGGAATCATATTTTTAAACAAAAAAATATATATATATATATATATATATATATATATATTTATATATATATATTTATCACCTTTCGCAGAATATTTGCAATCCTAGCAACTCGGTTTTGAAGTGAAGCATATAAAACTTTATTCTTATTTTCTTAATAATAGAAATTTAAGTTCGCTGGTGTAGACAACAACGCCATCTGAACTAACTTGTGTGAACTTATACGAATCACTACATCACCTAGATCAGCCTTTCGTGTTTATTTATTTATTTATTTATTATTATTATTATTATTATTATTATTATTATTTTCTTCTTCACGCCTGTAGAAGCCATGCACCAAAACAACTCACAACTTGTCCGGTGCAAATGATTTTCAACATTTGATTTAGGCATTTCATGTTGGCTATTTTCCTCATCATATATGATTGATTGCCTCCAATGTCTGACTCTGATGACTGAATTTTCTCCATTTTTTATTATCATGAAACTTCACCAACTTCTTTAAACAGGTTTTGATCATTCAGAGTAACTTTTCTATAACTTGCACGAAACTTCTTTTTGCATTTGAATCACATTTGTTTTTCATTTTTAAGATTATATATATATATATATATATATATATATATCAGAAACCGAAAAATGCTTCTTATTTTCTTTGACGTTAGAATCAATAAACAAAAATTCTTCAGTTTTCATAAAATTACTTAAATCTACGCTGATGTGACAGCTGTCATAACACAATTGAAATGGATCTTATTGAATGTCGTGGAACGCTCGTAATACCATTTAATGATAAGCTCAGAACGAATTTGTCATCAACACACACACAAATACACACACACATATATAGTTTCATTAAAAACGACTGACAATGTACTGCGGTTAAGTTTTTATTTAATTTTTCATTTGTTTCTATAATTTTCTTCTTTTCTGAACGTAAATTATATAGAAATTGCCCAAATGTTTTGTATGTCCGAACGCTTTCGGCTATACTTTTAGCCATTATCAAGGATTTCATTTTTACTTTTATCTGAATGTATGGATTGTTTTATGTATGTATCTAGAGTTATAGGAATGTTTTATTTAACAGATACGGTCAGCACATTGTGGCCGTGTTCATAGTTGATATTATTGGGTGGTAGTTTCTTTCTTTTTTTTTTTATTAATAATGCTTCCATTATTTTCAACCCTTTTTAATTTTAGTCGTTTTAATAAGACTTGTATAAAAGAGGGATTGCTGCCCAAATACACGCACGCACGCACACACACACATATATATATATATTATAAAATGGACTAAGTCTTATTATTATTTTAATATATTTTATTATACCTTATTTATATAGAAACAAATATTTAAGTAAATAATAAAACAGTAAATCGACCTTGCTAACCAGGCACTTTCTTCGTAGATAAACTGATATAGCACGTCAGGCTATATGATATTTCCGTGTAGGATACAGGTTCGATTCCTATCGGAAGACGTGTATTTTCTTTGAAATTTCTCGGACATTCAAGCCGATAAATGTTGTTAATACTGTTTATTATAAACAGAACATTTACTTAAATATATGTGTCTAAATAAATAGCGTATAACAATTATATATATATATATATATATATATATATATAAAAACTACTTCGATCAAAATGGAGTAGAATGATGAGTTTGCTATTAATACAAAATGCGTTTTTTTTAAATATTACAAATGGGAGAATAGGTAAGGTTAAATTTGAATCCTGTGTTCGCAGAAGGTCAGAAGCGGTAGAATTGTAGTCAGTAATGCAGCCAAACAAAAGCCCCAGGAAAAGATGATAGAATAAGTTGTGCTGATTTTCAAGGTCACTGGAGGTCAGTGAAACTTGTAGCATTTATGATCTGTAATGTAGCCAAACAATTACATACTTGTAAGTTAGCCTTCGGGGATACAATTCTCAGTAAAAGATGATAGGATCAATGGAGCTGACCTTTAAATCACTGGATGTCACCAAATATCAATTTAGGATTAAAATAACTTTTCTTCAGTCCAACGAAACAATTAAAGTGTTTTAAAAAAAGGATTTATTCGCATTGATTGTAAATATTTTACAAGAAAAAGAGAAAATATCAAAAATTTTCAGAATAAAACTTGATTTGTTTTTATATTGGCTTTAAATGTAAAAAAACAAAACTAAACAAAAACTACCGATTCTGGGAGTGAAGTGATTTTACTTCAAATAATGCAGTCATATAAATAAAATTAAACCAGTTGCAACGTATTCATTGGGAAGTTCAGCTATACAGTAACCATAATTCAGGACAGTTTTCAGGCTATTTCGAACCCAAATGAATTTCTAAACTTTCTAGGTTTTTATGGTTTTCCTTTTCACAGCCCTTAACTAACAACTAGAATGCCAATCATGCTTCACCAAAAGCCCAACTTTCCAACGTTTCGCAATGGAAATCGCCTAGCTGTTAAATAACTTCTTTTACATGACATCGAGGCAACTCTCCGTAATGTGATAGGCAAAAAGGAGGATTTGTTAATTGTCAGGATTTCCATAACTTCAACAGTCTTGTCTTTTAACTTCAAGTGTCTTCAGTCCCCAGTGAGGTTTAGCTTTCTTATGATCATCAACAAAGTACAAAAATAAGCTCTCAATATCAGTGGCCTTAACTTGATGGTTATCGAGGAGGAGTTTTTTTTTCTACCAAAAGTGTTTGGTTGTCTTGGGCCACATCTAAGACCCATACAGATATATATACACCTCAAGAAAGGCGATAATGTCACTAAGACGCCCATAGTTTTCTCCCCTTAGAATATTTCCTCAGATGCAGCCTTGTGCTTCGTAAATCTCGACCTCCTAAAACAGCTGTATATTTTCGCATACCAGCGGCGTAATATTTAGCAAACTAGTTTATCAAAATATTACAACTGTGTAGTAAGAATGAGCCTCACTGGGGGATTAAATTTGGGACTTTGTACAAGACGAAGCTAAACTTGCTAAATATATATGTTCTTTTTTTTTTTTAAACCAATTCACCCCAAGCAAGGCAATAATGTCAGTAAAACGCAAAGGGAGACTACTGGGCGTGAAAGAGAATGAGAAGACTTTAGAAGAAACCGGAAACCAAATCCTAAACAGGAAACAAGGGAAACAGGAAACCTCTACTTCAGTTCAAAAGACTTGGGCGGAGTGTAAATCATACGATAGGTGAATATCTAAATCTATTGTTAGTCTTATACAAATACAACATGATAAAGTTTAATGCATGAGATTTCACTTGGATGTTCCCAAAGGAGGACATCATTCTCGAGAGCATTTGACGCGAGCGATTGGCAATATTTGGAGTAATTAAAAGACGAATAACAATGGCATAGAAATCGCCTTCGTGTGTTCTAGATTAGTTTTCATTTAGAGAATATTCCTGGTAGGAAACCAATTAAAATATATTGTTGATTTAGCGTTGTTACAAGAGAAGTGGCTTTGATGATGCGACACTGTTTAGAAAGAAAACACGAGAGAAGGAAGGAAAGAAAAAAAAAGGAAAGAATAAAATGAGAAGAAACATTAAAAAAAAGAAAATGAAAAAAGAAGAAGAATGTAGAAAAAAGACTGAATAAGGTACTCAAGCAAGAAAAATGGTAACAGGCGTGAAAGAGAGACAAGTGAAAAAAACGTAGAAATCGATGGAATGAGAAAATGTGAAGAAGAAAAAGGGAAAGAGAAGGAGAAAGAAAAAATATAATAATAATGAAAACAAGGGAAAATGAAGGAATAAAAAAATAAGGAAAAAGAAAAATTGAACGGGAAAATGAACATGAAAGAGATAAACGTGAAAAGGGATGAGAAAATGAAAAAATAGAAACGGAAAGATAGAATAAAAAAGAAAAAAAAAACAATGAAGATGTAAGGATTGGAAAATATGAATAAACTACAAAAAATGGAAGCGGAAAGAAAAAAGATAAGAGATAAGAAACAGAAAAGGAATGAAAAATACGGAAAATATAAAAACAGGAGGAAGGGAGAAAACTGGAAGGAAAAAAAAAAGAACGAAAGAGTGAAGGAATGGTTGGTTGGTTGTTTTTGTTTAGAGGCATATCAACACCTCTACGGGTTATGTAATGCCGAAATTTAAATGTGAAATTTCAAATTAAATAAATTACTTTAAGGGAATTACATTATTTCATGATTAAATTATAATTACTTAGCAGCATTTTCTTTTATCAAATAATCTTACAAAATCAAACGAGGATTGAAAACTTGTTTCTCTTTACAAGAAATGAGATTAATCTTATAAATCGTTTTAATTTTTGTAACAATGTACACCATGCCTTCAATTTAACTATAAAATATATTACAGAACATTTAGCTATATGAATGTATTGCTGATAAACTTTTTTTATGACAATGTACTGCTGGTAATGTACAATGTAATGTACTGCTAATGTTACGAGAATGTATTGCTGGTAATTGTTTTTATAAAAGTGTGTTACGGGAGAATGCGTGTCTCCTAGTATATTTACCCAACAACAATAATTACGGACTGGAATGTGAGTCCGGTTAATAAAGTATCAACAAAACTATATATATATATATATATATATATATATGAACAAACGATAAGTATGTGTTGACAAAACAAGGGCATACATATATAATTGAATATTGTTGATTGTTACTGAACAATGAACACGAATGAAGAAAAAATTTAATGACTAAAGAATGTGTTTGTGTGTATAGAATGTGTGTAGAAGAAGTCCGAGTGAAAGTTGTTACTGGCGTGCATGCGTGTGTGCGCGCGAGTGTGCGTTCCCTGATGAGAAAGCGAATTCCTCGTTCGACCTACATGTTACCGTCCCTAAGTGAAAAAGGAAAAAGGGGATGGCAGGGAATGTCACTTCCTAATTATAGGCTTAGGGAGCATCCCCTAGCGGCTGTTTTTTCTGTAGGAAAATAAGTGGGGTTACTCCATAAGTGTATTGCTGGTAATTTTTGTACTTTCCTAGTGTTTTGGGGTTTCACTATTATAACTGGGACTCTAACAGCTCCTACCACCTACAAAACCTCCAATTTCCCTATCAGAGGCCTTACTACCGGATGTAGTTTATCGTCATACCCAGGACTATTTGAAGAAATGAGAAATGAAAAAATTAAAATGAAATGAGAGAGATGAAAGAAAAAAAAATGTGTAAGCGTATGAAAAAGTGAAAAGAATAAGAAAACGGAAAAAAAGAAAAATGAAAGCGAAAGAGAGAAAAAAAAAAAGTGAAAAGGAATGAAAAACTGAAGGAAGGAAAAATATGGTTAAAAGAAGAATGCAAATGGGAAAAGAAAATTAAAAGAGAGAAAAGTAAAAAAAAAAATGAAAAACTAAAGGAATGAAAAACCAAAGGAATGAAAAATAATAGAAAAAAGAATAGATAAAAACAACTTATTGAAAACACAGAGAATAATCATCGCAAAAACGTAAAAAGAAATATTGAAAGAAGGAAAAACTAAAAAAAAAGGAATATTTATTTCTCTTCCCACAAAAAGGGCAAAAAGCAACACGTGGTAGTTTTGTATAAAAACAAAAAAAAAAAAATAGCAATTTAGTGCTATTTAAAGGTGGAAATTGCAGCTTAAAAATATGAATGCAGATTTACATAATAGATGAGTAAAAAGTACGCACTTAGAAAATACATTTAAATAGAATAAAAAAACAAAACGTGTTGTCATTTTTTCGCCCTTTTTCTTTTATTTATGTTTCCACCTTCAGAAAGAAATTTCTCAGCTGGAAAATGAGATATTGCGTGACAGATATTTGCCAGCAAAACATTGCCGGCAATCGTACCTGGCTGCTAATAAATAGAACTGTAAAAAGATGAAATAGGTAAATTGAAATTTTACAGAATGTCACGATTGATAAAAGTTAGAAAACATTCATGAAAATTTAAAAACATGATAAAACATAAAACGAAACAAAACTTTGTTTGAAAGCAATATTTTTGTACTTTGTCTCATACTATTAGTTTTCTTGTATGGTACAAATTATTCATTTTACGAACTGGTCGTATCTCCTTTGAGTAATGGTTAACAAGCTTGTCTCGCTGTTGTATTAAATTTAACCCTCGTTTGGAATCTAACAATTGTGGGTGTGTGTTAGGCTATACTTTGTAAATATTTTTCCAGGCTTGCGAACACTGATAATTTATTTTATTTTCAGTAGATGTTGTTTAAGTTTAGATGTTGAAGGCTGTCCAGAATCTTATTTTCTTCAGTTTGAATTTAATATACATGATTTCTTCTTCTTTTCCCCCCGAAAATATATATTCTGCGCCGAATAATAAGCGAAAGACAACTGTTTAAACAATGTCTGAACATCTGGCATGTGGAGTTACCATTATTTATTTAATATAATTATTAAAATGTGCCTACCAGTGTAGACATTGGGAGACACAGACGTATAATTTCGAACATAACCATTTATTTAATCTACGTCTTGTTCAACGTAGTACTTACTCAGTTTTTGCTCGCCCTGTTTCTTCTGAGTCTAAGTCTGTGCTACCTGGCCCAAGGTCCTCTTAACTGCTATTGTTCCCAGGTCCACCCTGATTTGGGGAGGTAACACCTGCTAGGGTCCCACCTATGGCCAAATAGTGAACTCCCGAAAAAAAAAGAAGAAAAACTATGAAAGTATAAATATACATATTATAGTAAAAAAAACAAAACACAAAAAAACAACAGTAATAAATCTTTATATAAAAAATGACCAACATTATATATTTATAGTGTAATTACCAACAATATATCTTTAAAGCAAAAAGGACCAACAATACATTTTATAGTAGAATTTCCAACAATACATTTTATAGCAAAATGACCAACAATACATTTTATAGTAGAATGACCAACAACATTTTATATTTTACATTTTATAGTAGAATTTCCAACGATACATTTTATAGCAAAATGACCAACAATACATTTTATAGTAGAATTTCCAACGATACATTTTATAGCAAAATGACCAACAATACATTTTATAGTAGAATTTCCAACGATACATTTTATAGCAAAATGACCAACAATACATAGAATTTCCAACGATACAATTTATAGCAAAATGACCAACAATACATTTTATAGTAGAATTTCAACGATACATTTTATAGCAAAATGACCAACAATACATTTTATAGTAGAATTTCAAACGATACATTTTATAGCAAAATGACCAACAATACATTTTATAGTAGAATTTCCAACGATACATTTTATAGCAAAATGACCAACAATACATTTTATAGTAGAATTTCCAACGATACATTTTATAGCAAAATGACCAACAATACATTTTATAGTAGAATTTCAAACGATACATTTTATAGCAAAATGACCAACAATACATTTTATAGTAGAATTTCCAACGATACATTTTATAGCAAAATGACCAACAATACATTTTTAGAATTTACGATATTTATAGAATTTCCAACGATTTACATTTTATAGCAAAATGACCAACAATACATTTTATAGTAGAATTTCCAACGATACATTTTATAGCAAAATGACCAACAATACATTTTATAGTAGAATTTTTTCTACAAACGATACATTTTATTTTAGCAAAATGACCAACAATACATTTTTTATTTCCAACGATACATTTTTCAAAATGACCAACAATACATTTTATATTTCAAAATGACCAAAACAATGCATTTTATAGTAGAATTTCCAACGATACATTTTATAGCAAAATGACCAACAATACATTTTATAGTAGAATTTCAAACGATACATTTTATAGCAAAATGACCAACAATACATTTTATAGTAGAATTTCAACGATACATTTTATAGCAAAAATGACCAACAATGCATTTTATAGTAGAATTTCCAACGATACATTTTATAGCAAAATGACCAACAATACATTTTATAGTTGAATTTCCAACGATACATTTTATAGCAAAATGACCAACAATACATTTTATAGTAGAATTTCCAACGATACATTTTATAGCAAAATGACCAACAATACATTTTATTTATTTCCAACGATACATTTTATTAAAATCCAACAATACATTTTATTTGAATTTCCAACGATACATTTTATAGCAAAATGACCAACAATACATTTTATAGTAGAATTTCCAACGATACATTTTTATAGACCAACAATAAAATGACCAACAATACATTTTATAGTAGAATTTCCAACGATACATTTTTAGCAAAATGACCAACAATACATTTTATAGTAGAATTTCCAACGATACATTTTTTGACCAACAATACATTTTAATAGAACAACGATACAATGACCAACAATACATTTTATAGTAGAATTTCCAACGATACATTTTATAGTAAAATGACCAACAATACATTTTATAGTAGAATTTCCAACAATACATTTTATAGCAAAATGACCAACAATACATTTTATAGTAGAATTTCCAACGATACATTTTATAGCAAAATGACCAACAATACATTTTATAGTAGAATTTCCAACAATACATTTTATAGCAAAATGACCAACAATACATTTTATAGTAGAATTTTCAACGATACATTTTATAGCAAAAAGACCAACAATACATCCTATCTGTATTTGACGGCATAAAATTGCGACTAAAATGTATTTAGCCATAAAATTGTGTTCAAAATATTTAGATTCTGGCATTAAACAATCCACAGAGATTGATATGCCGATAATCAAAATCAACCAATACCCGGCCCAGGGATGTAATGCACAATTACTATGCCGCCATACTCACGAATAAACGCTTTAGTACACTAAATTATTGTTCCGTGGGATAATCCTGGGTGTAGGATTATTCACACACTTAAACCTGTTCTTCCTGCCTGCTTGCTGCTGAAGTTGTTGCTGTCACACTCCTCTAATCTATGTGGGTAGGTTGTTCCAGTTAAGTTGCTCATGTTTGGCGATATTTCGTATTAATCACTCTTTAGTAAATCTCCGTTATCACTAGTACTGTTTCCAGTGTGTCTGGAGAATAGCCTAGAGAATTTAAACGATGGTTCATGAATTTGGTGGAATAGTAATTGTGAATTCAATCCATGGGCTGGGTAGTTCAGACTTTGACTTATTAAATAGATTAAATAAAGATTCATTTAATTAGATCGAACGAATAGTACAGTACGAAATTTAGTGAAAATTACCGACATCGTCAAAGAACTGAAGGAGGTCGGAGGGCACAACTGTCGAAACGTCGTGATAATGACAACAAAGACGAGGACACTAGTCTGAATATAAATAATTTAAACACATTTAAAACTGTTTAAACACTTTTAAAACACTGTTTAAGCAATTTTAAAAACATTTTTAAACACTTTTAAAATACATTTTAAACATTGTGTAAACAGAGTCTGTCTATATTTCAAGGACACATGGCACAGTGGATAAAGTTGGTTAGATCCGGTGACAGACCCAAAGAGTGTGAGTTCAATATCCGGTTAAGGGAGTGGAGAACTTTCAGAGGGAAAATTACCAGGCGATAACTGACATCCATCAAACATGGCACGTGGAACTAGAACAGTCTATCGCAGTGATCGAAATAAAGGGTTCAGTTAGAAATTCCAACCACCTGAAGAAGGCCGGAGCGTACAACGGCCGAAACGTTGTGATAAATATGGCGACAAAGATGAGGACAATAGTCCGAATAATGTAAATACTGTACTGTGTAAACACTTTTAAAATACATTTTAAACAATTTTAAAACACTGTTTAAAAACTTTTTAAAACATTGTTTAAACACTTGTAAAACACTGTTTAAACACTTTTAAAACACTGTTTAAACGCTTTTAAAACAATGTTTAAACACTTTTAAAACACTGATTCATTCTGATTTCTCTAAGTTCATGTGACAAATATTTTCCTAGGTTCTGAGCTTTTTCTTAAGCTTATAAATGACTGATTCCAAAATCAATGAAGAGCTTCCTAAATTTCAGCAACATTTCTAAGATTTTCCAACCAGTAAGCAAAAGAAGGTACTGGGAACTTTTGTACCAATCTACAAATCTTCAATTTGAATACTAATTTTGTAGCCTTGTGTCAGTCTAGGTCAAACTCAATATATATATATATATATATATACTCCTGCCTCAAAAACAAATCTAGTGTCGGTGACAAAACTAACCTGGACGTGAGTCTTGAAATGGACCTCCAACCGGTTGTTAATTGGGGCAAGAACTGGCTGGTGTCAACTTTAACGCCTCGAAAACTAAACTACTCTTTATTAATCACCATAGAGATCCTTCCCTGCTTCCCCATTAGAATGTCTGATAGTTAACTTCTTGAGAGCAACTCTCTGCGTCTGCTCAGTCTCACGTTGACTGCTGACCTGAGATGGAACAAATACATTGAGTCAATTGCTTCTTCCACCGCGGGAAAAGTTGGCTCTCTGTGCCGCGCCAGGAAATTTTTCTCCCCGGAATCGATACTTCAAATATACAAATCAACCATTCGCCCTTGCATGGATTATTGCTGCCATATATGGCCTGGTGCACCTTCTGCTTACCTCGGAGTTCTTGACAAGATCCAGAGACGGATATGTAATATAATTGGCCCTGATCTGGCGTCTCGTCTACAGTCACTCTCTCACAGTCGCGCCGTCGCCTCTCTCTGTCTTTTCTATAAATACTTTCATGGTAATTGCTCCGATGAGCTGCTTTCACTGGTTCCCAGACTCCATGAATTCAAGCGCCCTACGAGGCTGGCATCCCGCTCCCACCCTTACACTGTAGAAACTTTTAAATGTAGCCGTCTCTTCTACTCCAATAGCTTCATACCTCGCACCT